ATAATGATAATAATATTATTATTATTATTATAATTATTATTGTTATTGTTATTGTTATTACTATTTTTATTAAATGGAACATTCGGTAAGTTGAATTTGCATGTACAAAGTTTTGACAGGCTTGACATTATCCAATATATACCTGTAACCGCATGGTGCCATTGCATCATACTATAGTGTATGTCTGTTTCTACATTCTTTTCCATATTTATCAAAAAAATATCTATAAGTTGAGAAAGCATGTGCTTACTGTATGAATGAATAAAAACATATGAACTATATAGTGAGTAGTCAAGTGTTTATATTTTGCACAAAGAGAACAGTGGCGGTGAGTAGTGAAGGGCTCATTTGCTCGAGCCCCTCCCCCGTCCCCACCCACCACCCCCAACTCTATCCCAAAGTAAATTAAACTTTCTCCATAATGAACTAAGTGGTTGAAACCGTTATGACCGCACGCAATGGACACAGAGGGATCAACTTGGCGGCTTGCTCGTTTATCCAATCACTGTTGTCACTGTTTACAACTATAGTAACCCAGCAGCCAATTAAATGTCTTTAGTCAGGGCTCAGCAAAGGATGGGCCCTTTCCCATGGCCCGTCCTTAATGAAACTCTTCTAGCAAAAAATGTAAAAGACTTGAAAAAAAGAGCACTGTACTGAGGGCTCACCTTCTCCTAGCCCTGACAATGGGGTGAAAGTTTACGACATACTTTTCCCCACTGACACAGATACCTACGCACTCGTTGGTTCTTTGTTGGGTGCGTTCAACTTTCTCGACTATACGGCCTAATCCAGCTCATAGAAGTAATATATTTGAAGTGCGGTATGCATTTTTGTGTTTGTGTCGCTGAGATTTAACAGTTATAAATCAGGTCGAACTACTTTTAAGGCAACTTTTTCTTCACATGAAAATTAATTAGAGGAAATTAGGAGGAGAAACGGCTTCGTCCTCACCATCAACAAGAATTTAACTAAGAACAAAGGGATGGAAAACAATGGTAACTCTTCTCGTTTGAATGGTTCTCAAAGAGCCGGGGCTCACATAGGAAAATCATCACTGTTTAGTTCTTATTGCTTGCTATTTGGTGGCAAAGAACTGGAAGCAACCTAAGCCCCACGCACATTTTGGTCCACCCACCGCCACTGAAAGAGAATGATTTTACCATATCTCGAAGGTGTAATGCCCTCATCGTACAACTGGACAAAAAGTAATTACTCTTTTTGGATGGGTTTTCAGGACAGACATCCATTATTACGAAATAATTAAAATTATTAATTAAATGTTTTTGAAATGATTTTCCCCTCCAGTCAACATGTCATAAAAAAAAAACTTGTTGAATTTCTATCACGAAACCATTTACGTGGTTAGAGCACATCACTATCGACGTGAGCTTTTTTAGTTGTTGTTTTACTCATCTCATAATATACCTACTTACCTACCTACCTACCTACCTACCAACCTACCTACCTACCTACCTGCCTACCTACATACCTACCTACCTACCTACCAAACTACTCACCCACCCACCTACCTACCTACCTACCGACCTACCGACCTACACACACACACACATACACACACACACACACACACATACATACATACATACATACATACATACATACATACA